GGAATCTTGAAAAGCCGGTTTCAACTAGTAGTAAAAAAGATGCACTAAGGAAGCCAACTGTAGTTGAACTTGAAAGTCAGCAGAAGTCTTACGGCCTCAACTTGGCTGTTCAGAACGGACCAAGTAAGAGCACCGGGCAGGAGGGACCCTTGATCGGTACTGACAGCACTGGCAATGTTAGGACTGGATTATGGAAACATGAAACGACTGTGTAGCATTGCTGGGCTTCCTAGGCAGGAATTCATGACGACTGTGATACTCACATTCCTTTAAGCTATGAACATTGAAGAACAAACTGTTTACAGCCACCTTAGGGATTCCAGCTAATTGTGAAGAAATTTCTAAATTGTGGATTTCATTTATTTTTATTCCCTAACAGTTGCCTTTTTTTTTAGGAGTTAAAAAGAACAACAACAACAACTTTTAAAGCATCATTTTTTAGTTGTCAAAATGCCAACAGAACATTTTAGAAATCTGAACTGTAATGTTTTGGAATCTGTAATATCTACCTAACATTTCAGGCTTGTATTTAATACAATAAATAGGTGTTTATCATTTTCTCAGTCTTTTATTTTTATATTTATTGTGTAAGTATATTGCTCTATTTTTTAAGAGCTTTTTTGCCTTAGGGTTCATGAGCTCACCAAAGAAAGAGACAGAGACAGCGAGAGAGAAAGTGAGAAATCACCCCTTGGGGAGATGGCCACACCACATTCCCTACTCCTTCATTTTCCTCCTGGGATCTTGGGTATGCACCTACACACACCTGGTGTGAGTTTTTTTAAGCCACCAGGTCTGGGACTGGAACCACGGTCAGCCATGTGGGAATCCAGCAACATAACTGTTACACCATCTGCTAGACCCATGGCTTTATATTGGTGAAGCTTATGAACTGAAATGTTTTGAGAATTATATCTAAGTTAGTTATCAGATATAAAACATGGCTCAGTATATTGATTATGGTATAAAAATTGGTGATTTTTACATTGATATATTTTGTAAATGTAATTAAATACCAGAGATTTTAAAAAACTCATAGAATATTTTTTAAAGACAAAAATGTCTAAAAAACTTGTCCTAAGTTGCATTATTTTTGCTATACTACTTTGATCCCATTAATCCCATTTTCAGCATTTCCGTGTCATTTTCAGTGGCTTATAGTTGGGTTTAATGTTCTTATCTATTCCTATTGGCACAAGGAAGTTCCTTCCTGCACATGTTATTCTTGAATGTAAATGAAGAACTGCTTTATTGAGTTTCCATTCATCTCTTCTGGATTCTTCGGTATTGGTCCTATGCCCACTTTTATTTTCCACTTAAACAGGTAATGTTCCTTAGGTTCATGCTAAAGTACTGAGCTTTAAATTTCATGCCAAGGGCAAACCCAGTTTTTATCTGAGAGTTGTCTTTGTTTGTCACACTACTGTCTTCAGTTCTGTGTCTCACTGGGTTCCAAGTTTCCTTGTGCAAGACAATGCCAGAAAACTTGGCGCAGCTTAGATCTATTTTCAGCAGAAGTCAGGTGGTTTGAATGAGATCAGATTCAGAAGTACATGGTCAAGAAATGCTGAAAGAGTCAAGCAGTTTAGCTTGAGAAAGCTCAGATTCTGAGCAATTTGCTGCTTACTCACAGAGAGAGCAATTCTCTGAAGTACCAGGAGATCCCTCATTATAATCTACACTGGTGAAAACATTCACTTTTCACTTAGTGACTGCATTAGAAATAAGTTATTGTAGGAGCCAGGTGGTGGCACCGTGGTGGTGCAGCTAGGCCCTTGTAAGAAAGGTTTGGCCTCAGGTCCTGAAAACTCACTGGGAACGCTGCTTGTGCCCCATGAGAAGGGACTAGCAGAGGCCGGGGGTGGATTACAGAATGAAGACCGTGTTTCTGGGTGCCTCTCTGTTTGTATCTCTTGCTCTTATGGAAGAAAGAAACAAAACTTAAAAAAATAGTATTTCATATTGCAATAATAAAACCAATAGTTCTTTTGAAGCCTTGTTTTAGGTATTAGAGACTTTCATTTGATGGTCGTGAGAAGGCGACCGGTGGCTAGATTTGCTGTTTGTATATTGAATGTGTTTGCTGGACCAGGGTGTCCTGGCATGTTGATGTATTTTGTGTAGGATGGTGTTCATAAATGACAGAGATAAGCTAATGAGAAATGGAGTGAATGATTCTTTTTTTCTTTTTTAACTTTTACCGTACTCTCTTATTTTACAGTGCTTTGGTACAATATTTAACCTGTTTGACCTGCTGGGAGTCAGCTCAACTTGGTTGCTATTTTTTTTCCAGCTAGTCACAGGAAATGAGAAATTTCCACTCCTAGAAGTGTTTATTCAGTATGCATTTATTAATTTAAACATAACTTCTCTTAGGTAACCAAAAGAACAGGGGCCCTGCATT